CCCCCCCCAGCGCCGCGCCCGCGCCGCCCCCCCGCGGAATGCCGCGCTGCGCTCCCCCCCGCCGCCCCTTACCAGGTGCCACCCCAAGCATGTGCTTGGTTGCCTGGTGCCGGCCCTGCCATTCAAACTTTGGCTTTGACTCAGGAGCCTGTAAGGGTGAGGTAGAGGAGACCTGGCCACACCCCCAGGCTCTCTAGCTGGTGCTATAGGCCAGGACAGAGCTGCATTGGCAGAGTTAAGTGCGGACCCCAAACTGACATAGCAAGCGCCACACCCAAAGATTTACCCTGACAGTAGGGTTGCCAGGTGTCCGTTTATCAGCCAGAAAACCCGGTCAAAACGGGACCCTGGTGACTCTGGTCAGTGCTACTGAATGGGCCATTAAAAGTCTGTTTGGCCACAGCGGGGCTGGCAAGTTCCCTGCCCAGCTCCGCAAGGCTTCCAGAAAGTGGCTGGCCTGGCTGGCTCCTAGGCGGAGGAGTAGCCAGAGGGCTCTGTGCGCTGCCCTCACTCGCAGGCGCCGCCCCAAACCGTGGGCAATGGGAGCTGCGGGGGCGGCACATGAGGGGCAGGGGCAGTGCATGGAGCCACCTGGCCATGCCTTTGCCTAAGAGCCAGAGGGACATGTCACTGATTCCCGGGAACTGCCTGCGGTAAACACCACGGGGAGACTGCACCTTGCACCCCAATGCCCCAGCCCGGAGCCCCCTCCCACACTCTGAACCCCTCGGCCCCAGCCCAGACCCCCCTTCTGGACCCCAAACCCCTCATTCCTGGCTCCACTCCAGAGCCCGCATCCCGAACCGGAGTTCTCACCCACTCCAGCACCCTGAACCCCGCATTTCTGAACCCACCACGGAGCCCGAGCCCACAGCCCAGAGCCTGTACCCCCTCCCACACCCCAACCCCCTGCCTCTGCCCAGAGCCCCCTCTCACACGCTGAACCCTTTGGCCCACCCCCCAACCTTCTCCTGCACTCCAAACCCCTCATGCCCAGCCTCACCCCAGAGCCTGCACCCGCAACTGGAGTCCTCACTCCTCCTGCACCCCAACCCCCTGCCCCAGCCCAGTGAAAATGAGCGAGTGAGTGAGGGTGGGGAAAAGCAAGCGATGGGGGGAGGGGGGATGGTGTGAGTGGGGATGGGGCCTCAAAGAAGGCGTGGGGCCTCAGGGAAGGGGCAAGGCAGGGGCAGGGCAAGGGTGTTCAGTTTTCTGCAATTAGAAAGTTGGCAACCCTACCTGACAGAGCTGTGTACGGTGGGGCTGAAATAGCCGGGGGCGGCCCAGGGCTGGAATAGCCGGGGGAGGCCCAGGGCTGGAATAGCAGGGGGCAGCCCAGGGCTGGAATAGCTGGGGGAGGCCCAGGGCTGGAAAAGCTAACCGCCTTGGAAACGTTAGAATGAGTTGCCTTAGTAAGAAGAGTGTCAGCCTGATAGAGAACCCAGCCTTTTCCTCTCACTTCTCCACACAGATCTCTATGGGCAGGTGTTTGTTTTTCCAAAGGAGTCTGCTGATGCCCACGTTATCCTGAACATGAAAAATAGTGGTCCTCTGCAGACCTTCACCGTGTGTCTGAGATATTTCACAGACCTGACCCGGCCCTACAGCCTGTTCTCCTACAATACCAGGGCCAGAGACAACGAGATCCTCCTCTTCAAAGAGAAGCCTGGGGAGCTCAGCCTGAGTGTTGGCGGGGAAGCAGTGATCTTCAAAGTCCCAGAAAACAAAGGCACAAGCACTGGCTGGGAGCACGTCTGTGCCAGCTGGGAGTCTGCCACCGGCATAGCCGAGCTCTGGATGAACGGGAGTCCCTTACCCAGGAAGGGGCTGAAGAAAGGCTACTCTGTCAGCAACCAGGGTGTGCTCGTCCTGGGGCAGGAGCAGGACACCCCCGGGGGTAGATTTGATGCCAAGCAGTCATTTGTAGGGGAAATTGCTGATGTGTACATGTGGGACCGTGCCACCCCAATTGCTGCAATGCAGGCTGCCAATGATGATTCGCAGCTGCCCCCCTCCATTGTGGGCTGGGGCAGTTTGCAGTATCAAATAAAGGGTTACGTGGTACTGAAACCCATGCTGGCATAAGGGTCCTGTTGAAATGCAGCCTTGCCTTGGGAACAGGGGCCTGGCCATCCAGCTCCAAACCCCATTCGTGCATGACAGAGAATAGTGATGCACACACTTCAGCAGCATCTGAGCAAAACTAGCGTCAACCTCTGCTCTTGTGAACCCTATGGGAACAGTGTGAAATCAACCAATCCCTGGTGTTTGTGTCATTTGGGCATTTACCTGTGTCTAAAGCCTGGTCTGATTCTGTATCCCAATAAATGAGCTGATTTGCCCCCTGCAGCCTGTGGTGTATTGAGAATCCCAGTACAGCCCCACTGGGCGCAGTCTAAGAATGGGAATCCAGGTTGTGACCTGTTGTGTCAGAGGGCTCTGAGAATTCTGGGTTCCTAATGTTCACGTCCACCACAGTAGTCAGTTCTTCCTTTTGAGAACCAAACAAGAGGATCCTGTTCAATATTAATACACACACAAGAACCACACAAACAGTCCCCATTCCATAGTGTTACAGGATCCCCGGGGTACAACCTGGAACTGGGGTACCACTGTGCCCCTTTAACTCTCCAGCCTGGGCTGTCTCTCACAATGCTTTGCTAGTAACAAGCAGCAAACCCCTCTAAACACTGTTATCATTCAGTACAACAGCACATGGAGCTCCACAGCCAGCTAGATTGCATGAATGCTCCCTGAGCCACTCACAAATCACACAGAGAAAAATACCAGCAATCTCCCAAGCCCACAGCCTTGCACCTCAGAACTGTACTGACTTGTCGTGGTCAGAAGCCTGACCAGTGTAAATTCATTACCCAGTTTGCCCCTCCCTCGATGTGGACGAACACACAGTAGCTTTTGTAACCTGAGCTGAGATTTCCCAAGTATTTCAACCAAAACACATTGTTTGATATTATT